GCGTGAGGGCTTCCCGCGTAATACTCTGTTACTTTTTTCCAGAAGTTCTTTGCGTTTTGATCATTTTCAACAACAACATCCTTCGATGTGTTAAGCCACACACTGATTAGAACCTCGTCATCAGCTGGTGTCCATTTCTTTCTCTCCCTACGCACCACTGGTGTGACTACATGCTCACTTGGAGCGTGAGGTTGATGTAAACTGAAAGGAGGGTTTTCTGATGCTCCAAGGTTAACACTAGAAGGAAAACTTTCATAAGGAAAGTTTTCATGGATAACACTTTGTTGTTGACTGTTTAGAAGCCCTATATAGCTACTGGACTGACTATATGGATTCCTTGAATCCATATCAATAAAACAAAGAAGGGATTATATAAGAGAAATAAACTTGTTTACGGGTTTTAGCAAAGTGTTAGGTGTAATAAAACAGAGAAGGGATAATAGAAGAGAAAATAAACTTGCTTACGTTCAAGTTGAAGGATGGTTGGTGTTTAATAGGTGAAATGGTTAAGTGTAATAAGTTCCAGTCTTAATGACTAACCATAAACTACCAAAGTCATTTCAGAACTTATTACACAATACATAATTAACAAGTTCATTTAATTAAAAAGCTAAAGCTATTGAACACAACCATTAAACATATCTAACTAAGGTACTCGCAAGTCATTTCAGAACTTATTACACATGGACTTGGTTTCAAACGAACTACACTTCAAGCAAACATATATAACTAAGGCATTAAGGTACTCGCAAGTAAACACAACCAGCTAAAGCTAATGACTATTGCTTTCTTACTGACCAAAATTTCAAATTCTCAGATCAAATTTATACAAAATTCAAGTCTGTGAGTACAACTAAGCTATTAACTATTGGTTTGTTAACTAGTAAGCCATAGAGCGTATACAGGCGTATGACTACGACCAAAATTTTAAATTCTCAGATCAATTTTTTTCAAAATTCAAGTCTTTGCATACAACTACTTAACTAGTAAGCATCAGTTAACAAAACACTAATCACATGAGTTAACGAAACACTAATCACATAATGAGTTTAACATCAGTTAACGAAACACTTATCACATCAGTTAACGAACCAATCTAAACACATCAGTTAACGAACCAATCTAAATATGATTTACACTAATTTACAATTTTCCAAAGATAGAAAACCCTAGAACATCAGATTTAGTCACCCACATGAAAGAGGATTTAGGATTTTGAAAACCCTAAATCTACATGGATTTTGAATTTAAATTACTCAACCACCAAGCATACCATCAAAAACACATATCAGATCATCACAGCAAAAAAGCAACCAAACCAATAAACGGAGGAGATAGATCGACAAAGGAAACGAAATCTGCTAAATCAAAAAACCGATGAGGAACACATACCCGCCCATGAAATTGCCGGAGAAGGATTACGCCGGAGAAGGATTACGCCATCTTGGTAGTATGAAATCGGCGGAGACGGATTTCGTTGTCTTTATAGGGTTCGCCTTCGGGAAATGATAAAAGAGAGAAGACCCGACGGCACAAAGCGTATCACCACTCTAAATCCAAACGCCCTATCACAACATGCCACCTGGCCCTAAGGACGAGCCCAAATGTCTCTTAATTAAGGTCCGTTTGTTTCGTTTTTCGTCTTTTTGATTTATATTTCGACCCAATAATCCTAAGAAATGGGCTTAAGAGATGGCGATAATGTTGCCTTATAGAAGCAGTCCCTACTATAAAGGAGATGTGATGGAAATATTGTGAACCCTGTAATGGTTCAAATCTTATCATGTCATTGAAATAATGTCGTTCAAATAATTGAGTAATCTCATTTTTGGAAAATAAGAAAAAACGAGAAACCTATATAAGCTATATCATTCTATTTTTGGTTTACTGTCTATTAAATTTTATGCAATTATTTGGAGCTGGAGTTATGATCATGATATTACTGTTTGGTATAGTAATCGACAATCCCAAACTCATTTTGAATTTAGATACTTAATCTTCAGTGCTATCTTATTGAATATTTTTGTGAATAATATTGTGAAAGGAAACAAGGTACGTACATGCCAAATATGAGAGCGTGAGTTTTGATTAGGATAGGGACATGTACTTTCATTCAAAATTTCCAAAGAGAACACTCCTAAAAAATGCTGTTCGTTTGGTTTCCTCAGCGTCTGCGGTAAAGAATTGTGTTCGTTTGATTGACGCAGTACCTTCGTCTGGCGTCAATAAATTTGGAACGCCAAAAAAATCAGCGGCTGACGCAAAAAACCAGCGTCTACTTATCAAATTTACATTTTTGCCCTTAATCTATTTTATTATTTACAGAAAAACCCTAGTCTAATAGACGCAGACGTTTCTCTTCTCCTCCATTGACGCAACTCTATCTCTCTCTTCTCCTCCATCTTCGAGCTCTATCTTCTCCTCCATCTTCGATCTCTCTCTTCTCCTCCATCTCTGAGATCTCTCTCGATCTCTTCTCCTACACAAACCCATCTCAAGCTCTTTCTCGATCTCCGATGCAAACCTATCTCCGAGCTCTCTCTGTCGATCTCGACGCATCTTGAGCTCTCTCCCATCTCCGAGCTCTCTCTTTCTCTTTCTTTGAGGTAACTGTCTCTGTTTGGTCTCTTCATATTGATAGTGATGGTCTCTGTTCTAAACTCTCACAAGCTGATACTCTGGGTGTTATGTATGTATCATTACTCGTGTATCTAGTTAATTGAATGTTGATGAATGTGTTGTGTGATTGCTTTGTTTTTTCAGCACTCTGGGGAAAATGATTAAAAGTACCTTACGTTCATTTGATGTTGATCTTATCTTCACTATGAACTGCGATAAATTATTAGAATCTAGACATGATACTAGAATCTGGTTTTATTGATCTGGTTTTGTTCGACTTTGATTTGTCTTTCTTTTGTAAAGTTGAGTCTGATGCTCTGGCTCGTCTTTATATGCTAGTAAAGTTGTGTTTCATTGGTTTATTCCCATAGTGGTGTGGAGTGGAGTGTGAGGAGTTTGTACATCTTTTCTCCTTGGCATATGTACTTTGAATCTGCTTTGTTTCTTCATATTAAGAACTCCAGACTTGTTTAATTATTTACAGCTTTCATGCATTTAAATGCAACGTGCTTCGTGGAACATGTATTCTAATCCGAGATTTATGAATATAGGGACATATCAAGAAACCATATTGGCTTGTATAGGCTTGTGACAGTGGTGGAACATTTTGGCATGTATAGGCTTGTGACAGTGGTGGAACATTTTGGTATGACCGGAAGCGGACACTATACTTTTTATAGAAGTGCGAGAGTATCATCACATGAGGAGGAAAAAGAAGAAGATTGTGAGGAATTGAGGTGGTTATTCATTTGGATTGAGTATTGATTCTTGTTTTCCAAGTTTATTTTTTTTGTGAACTTGACATTATGATATAACTAGAGGTTGAAGAGTTTTTCTTATGTAACACGACTTTATGGATTCTCATGTAGTCTAACAATCACGTCGTACTTCCATTTGTTTTTGAAAAATAAGATGAGAAAGTGTATTAAAAAAAATTAGGTTTTCATACAATAGTCTACTCTACTAAAATAGAGTCATTATTTTTATCTACTGTACAAAGTTATAATAGGTCTATTTCATTAGTTACATATGACATAATATTCAATAAAAATATTAATAATAAATCAGTTTAACCATAAATTTGAATTTTATTTTTATTTTTAGTCTATATTATTTAAAATATAAGTATTATATAAATTAAATATGACAAATAATATTAAATTAACAAATTAACAAATTATTTTTAAAAATAATTTTATTTAACTAAATTACTATCTACCATTTGTTAACAATGTAATATTTTATAAAAAATAAAGTTATTAACATATGTTAAACTTTTGATTCTACACCTATATATTTTCAAAAAATATATTTTAAATAATAGTATTATTTGATTATTTCTGATTATAAGAAAATATCTATATATATATTCTACTTTTATAAGTTTTGTTATAGTCTATATTATATTAAAATAAAATTATTATATAAATTAGTTATGATAAATTATATTAAAATTTTATGTAAACAATATTTGTTTAAGCCTAGAAGTATTATTTAGCTTTTGTTTTGTGATAAATATTATATTATTTTTGCTTTCATTTAGCTTGTAACTTATGATAAAAAAATTATTTAAAATACAATTCTACAAATTTTTAAAATTTAATTAAAAATAGCCGCAGTGTCTGCCAAACGAACAACATAAATCAATTTTCTGCGGCTGCGACTACGTCTGCGTTTATGTCTTGCGTCTATGAAACGAACAAAAGTCTGCGGATGCGGCTGAGTCGGCAGCTGCGGCTACATCTATAAAACGAACAACAACCAAACGAACAGAAGCAGTCGCAGCCGCAGACTCAGCCGCATCCGTAGAAAGTCGCGGTAACCAAACGAACAGGGCTTTCAACATCTGATAGGGACATGTACTTTCATTTTATTGGTTTTGTTTAACTGTTAAATTTTTAAAATGGATTGATTTGATTCTAACACTGACCAAACTTACAGTTTCAATACTATAAACATCTCTATCAGTGGCCAAAATCAATGTCTTATGGATAATTTATCTGGTGAAATATCCTTTCAAAGGACATCTTGTCACCCTTTTGAAACACATCTCTAACACTGGCCAAACTCAATGTCTTATGGACAATTTATCTGGTGAAATCCTCTCAAAGGACATCTTGTCACCCTTTCGAAACATATCTCTAATACTGACAATTTGTCTGGTGAAATCCTTTCAAAGGACATCTTGTGTCACTCGTTTGGCAAGGTTGTACTGATTAGATAAAATAATATTTTTATATGTCCTATTTTAGTCTGCCAAAAAAGTATTGGTCGTACAATCAGACACATTGCAATGCATTATAAAACTAATTCCTAAGGTGGAGAAGAATAGAAAACTACAACGCCAATTCTCCTCCGGTCTTCTCAAGAGAGAGATAGAGATGGAGAATCTCCCAAAGGAGGAGCTGCAAGACTCAACCATGAAAGTTTCATCTCTTAACTGCATTGATCTCGCTAACAATGATCTTAATCACTTAGTTATTTCCCTCAAACAGGTCATATTGCCATTTATTTAAATTCGATGTTTTTACAAAATAATGATAATATCAAAATTACGAGGCTAATTTTTGTTTCAGGCATGTTTGGATTGTGGATTTTTCTATGTGATCAATCATGGAATAAACGAGGAGTTTATGGAGGACGTTTTCGAGCAGAGCAAGAAGTTTTTCGCTCTTCCTATGGAGGAGAAGATGAAAGTTTTGAGAAACCAAAAGCATCGAGGCTATACACCTGTTCTTGATGAGATCCTAGATCCTGACAATCAAGTCAATGGTTTGTGCGTGTGTGACCAATTTTAAATTCAAAAGGTGTACGTTGATTGATTGATTAATCTCCAAATTAATCTTTAGTTTTGTAACCTTTTGGTCTCTTAGGGGACCACAAAGAGGGTTATTACATGGGAATCGAAGTTCCAAAAGATGATCCTCATTGGGATAAACCATTCTATAGTCCTAATCCTTGGCCTAGTGCTGGTTTGTGTTTTTCTTTTATCTCTCTCCTGGTTTGTTAATTCCATTTTCTTAAAATATAATTTTTGCATTTTTATAGAACTAAGTTTTTTTTTTTTGCGTAGATATTTTACCCGGTTGGCGAGAAACCATGGAGAAATATCAGCAAGAAGCATTGTAAGTTCTCATAGTTCTTGATTGGAGATGAATATATTATATGTGTTGTTGACAATCTGAAGAAAAGAAACTAACTTTAGGAAAGTTTGTTCTTGTATATATGACAAGTAGAGGTGGTTGTATATATGATAAGTAGAGGTGGGAAGAGAAAAAATATGTTGGGATTTGTGGTTTTCTCTGTATTTTATGGACATCTAATATTCTAACTTGATTTACTATGAAAAATACGGATATCCAAAAATACATAGATATTTGTGTGTACTTGTGGATATTTCATATACTATGTTCAATATAAATAAATCTTAAGAAAACGATAAAACTTTGTTCTTAATTTTTTTTACATAATATAAAAGACAAGTAAAACATTGTGAAACTATTCTCTATAAATTTTAAAATTAGTTAAAATTAATGAATAACAATATTTAAGGAAACTTTATAGTTTTTTGCAGGATTTTTTTATTTGATACTATTTTAAGTAACTTTGAATAACTTTTATTAAATTATATGGTAAAATAGTAATTATATAAACTTATACATTTTTAAACTCTACATTTTAAACTCTACATTTAGTCATAGATATACATGCATTTATATATATGTCAGAGTAGAGTGATATCTGTTTCATAAATTTTATTATTTGAGATTTGCTTTTTTAATGTGATATTGATATTTGTTTTGCTTCGGAAAATTATAGATAGCCGGATTTTGTAATTGAAATGAATAACGAATTAAATTAAATATAAGGGATAATATTCACATCATGATGAGTTATTTTTTTTTTACAATATCAGGAGGGTTTCTAAGGATATTGCAAGACTATTGGCGCTAGCACTCGAATTGGATGTGAATTATTTTGATAAACCTGAGATGCTTGGAAAGCCTATTACAACTATGCGGTTGCTACACTACCAAGGTCTGAATATATATATTGTTAAAAAGATCATAGATGTTTAGTATTTCGTAATCTTGGTATGTCACCAACTATGCATTTGCTTCTCATGTTACATTTAGGAATTTCTATTCCTTCTAAAGGAATATACGCATGTGGAGCACATTCTGATTACGGAATGATGACTCTATTAGCCACTGATGGTGTTATGGGACTCCAGGTAACAGTTTCTGTTATTCATATAACATTTGACTACTTTGTTTAGTTACGAGAAATTGCAAAGCGTAATGACAGATATGCAAAGATAAGGACGCGAAGCCTCAGAAATGGGAATATGTACCACCAATTAAAGGGTATAACAAAGAACTATTGTTCATTTGGTCCATCATCTATTAACCTTGGTCCTTGAATGATATACTTACTATAGCTTAAGATTGTTTTTTAAATTACATGCTGTTCTCTCTGTGCATATGATCAGGTATTAGTATTTGTAAACTTGGTGAATGTAATTATTTTATCTATACAGAGCATTTATTGTGAATCTTGGCGATATGTTGGAACGTTGGAGCAATGGCTTTTTCAAGTAATACTTTAAATTCAACTAGTGATTTTGATTTGTGAGTCATATATTTTTTTAGGTGGTGCTTTCCCACATGTTTTCTTACTTTACAGATCCACGTTACATCGCGTTCTTGGGAACGGTCAGGAAAGATATTCTGTAAGGCTCTTACTAATCCCACTTGTGTCGTACCTTTCTAATCTTATAAATGTGAATCATGCGTTCGCTATATATTGGCATGGTTATTAGAGATGTATTTTTAGCAGTATATAATTTTATATGGTTAATGCGTGTTTAGCAAAAATGATGTCTATAATAACATTATCTTTGCATTTAATGTGTTCTTAACGCAGATTCCATTCTTCGTGGAACCGAATCACGATTGTCTTGTGGAGTGTCTCCCAACCTGCATGTCGGAAGGCAACATTCCCAAGTAAGACTTATTTTTGGTCAAACCCCAAGTAAGATTTTATATTGTGTTACTGAGACCTTTGAGTGCTAAACAAATGTTTATTCATGATTTTTATGCTTGTATAGATACCCAGCGATCAAATGTTCGACATACCTCACCCAACGTTACAAGGAAACACATGTGGAGTTGAGCATCTACAATCAACAAACATGATTGGTCTTTTCGATCAACATACATGGAGGGAAACTACAAAAGTGAAATTTATAGTAGTAGTCTTTGGATGTAAGCTCAAAGCGAAGTCCTAAAACATGTTATAGCATAAGTTTAAGTTTTATGGGAACACCTTAATTCCTACATTTATTTGCAGGAGTGCAGGACTATACCTGCTTAAGTCTTGTTTCAAATTATTCATCCGTATGAATTTGAGAAGATTTTATAGTCTTATGACTACAAAGTAACATTCAGATTCTATACGAGCTTGGTATGTTAATTCACTAGATATTTTCAAATACAAAATAGAACATATGAAAATCTCTCAAACTCTCGATATTTGTAACAGCAGAAACCATGTTTCACAAGAAAATAATATCGTCTTGAAATGTTTGTTCTTTATCAATGAATTGGAGTCACAGCGGTGATCTCACAAATAATTCCTCACAGAAATAAATTCTACTTATCACCGTAAGAAGCCGCAAAGAGCAATGCAAACACATCTCTGATAACTTTATTGATTTCGAGAGTGAAAACAACACAGACAAGTTTGTTGATGTCCAAACACCAAAAAAAAAACTAGTGGTAACAAAAGACGATGAACCTAAAGTTTTTTAAAATGACGTTTACATTAAGAAGTTAAGCTCTACTTTGGAGATGAAACAAAAAAAATACTATTATCTAGATTAAGAGCTTGTTCACACTTCACAGTCGATAGAATCACCGACTCGATCGAACTATAACAGTTTGGGCCAGAGACCAACTGAAAAGAATAGGTATGTGATGTTTGGTTCTTATAGAGAAAACCATAAGATTTTCAACATCATATTTTTATATAAAGAGAACAACGTACCTTACGTGTTTTCTCTAGAGACAAAACGTAGCGAACTCTTGCTTGATTGAAGAGCCAGCCACCGTCAGTGAAGGAGGACCACCAACCGGTCACCAGAGCACTGCCGACCACGGTGCTGTCTCGCCGGAAAGAAAATGTCGTCGTGTTTCAGTTCCTTCTCGTTATTCTCTTAAATCCAGCCACTGGTGAAGGTAACAAACTTTGAACACTCTATTTCTATTATCCCTTGCCTCTATCTTCGTCTTGATCTCTGATTTTGTAGATCTAATTCGTGTGGAGCCGTAGAACACAGCTGTTCGCCGATCCATTCGGACACGATCGATAAGTTTCCATTCTCGACTAAAAACACTAGGAACACAAAAATCTAAAGAATATAGAATTCCAACTAAAGTTCTATCTACTCAAAACATCGATATTTAACCGAAGTGATGATGCAAAACTCAACATAACACTTAACAAGGATGAAAGTTCAGAGACACGTAAATAAGAACCATACACAAGTTATTCAAGAACACTTCTTGTATATTAGAAACCTTTTAAACAATCTTCCTAGATCTGTTTAATCCGATTTAAGCTCAGTCACACACGACTAGCGACGGACCAGTTGCTAATCTCTAAGTTACAGAAACCCAAGCCAAACCCCTGTTTTCTCGATCTCTGTAGCCGACAAGAACAATTCTCTTGCTCTAGTTTTTTTTCTCTCTTAACGTCTAACCTAAAACTCTTTTAAATTGCCTCGTTAAATAGGCATGAAAAAGACAATATTCTACTTCCTAAAATATCGCCACCCAGAAGATCTTCTTTGCTTCGCACCCAAGTAATATCTTCTATTTCCATAAGTTTGTGCCACGTCATTACACGTACCAAACTTATTGCACTATGTTACACAATCATTGCACTGTGTAACACACTCTCATCTTAAACGGAACAAGCTCACATTCCTTGAGCTTACATTCTCTCCCTTTTTATCTGAATGTGACAACCTACTCAACTTGTTCCAACAAAGCTCAAAATGCAGAACAAAACTCTATATAAATCATATCAGTTAGTCTCCTATAAAGCCGATAATAGGAGAAACCCTAAACAAGACAGATTGATAGATCAAAGAGTGCACAAACAGATTAAACCAAACACAACAACACAAAGCAACATCTTAACAACAACTACAGAGTTCCATGACCCGAACAACTTTGTTGTGTGTACTGTAGGTATTCTCCCCCTGAGTAGATGCACATTAAGATAAAAACTCAAGGTTAGGTACTCATATAGTTCAAGGAATTTCTACAAGTACTACACCCTTATTCCTCAAGCGAATTATGAAAACAATGAGTGTAAAGCACAAAGTATGATGTGTTATGCACACATGTAACCAGGAGTACAAACTTCACTTACATTCATGTGAGAGCACATAGGTCATGTGAATTGTGATATGAGCCAGTCTTGTAGAGCAACCAGAATATACACATAGGGCATCGATGGACATGATGCCTGCATCTCGGGGGTAAAGTCACTGAAGAACGATTTATCCACACATCTAGCTACCAAAACTTTTTAATGAAATCAATGAGTCAACCCAAGTCTGTAACTATTTCTCAGCCGAGTAGCTGTCATAAACGAGATTCTGCAGCGTTCAGTCCGCAAACTCAGCTCTGTTCTCTCACTCATCTGTATGGTTTAGAAACACATGTTAGGCTTCTTGTGTGTCTGTCTCTCCAACTCACAGACTTCCAGTTGTTTATCACCAGACAGTTAATACACAACTCAAATTCTAGGAAAGTGATGAAATTCAGAGGCAAAGTGGGGTAACACCCAGCTCCAAAACATTTATCCCATGAGATTGGTAACACACCTGCCTAGTCAAGACAGTGATCGAAACAGAGACAAAGTGGTGTAACAGCCAGCTCCAAAACGAGTATCTATCACTCCAGGCCTTGTTTTTTTTTTTTTTTTTTTTTTTTGAGTAACATACCTCTTCTTTGATCAGGTTACTCCACGAATCTTACCTCTGACCAGTATCTTGTGTGATACCTTTTTCAAGTGATGTAACACTCATCCCCTGATGTGTTTCTTCATTCAGTCCAGACAGTGATCAATGCTCAGACGTGAAACGGGGTAACATCCCAGTCCAAGATGAGTGCCTTTCACCAGAGAATCAGATGAGCCAAATAGCAGAGTTAAGTAGCAGAACCTTACATTGTAGAACTTGTTGAAACAAGGCTTTAATGAGGGGGTAGCCTCGAAGCATGAACTCCAGCAATTTTTACAGTGACTCTTCCCCCTTCTTCAGGACTTAATTAGAGTTCCATGATTCCCAATGCATTTCTAAGACTCAGAAAGGTGTTGTGATCCAACGGTTTGGTAAAGAGATCTGCAAGTTGTTTCTCAGTTGGGACATGCTCTAATATCACAATCCTCATTTCCACTAACTCTCGCACAAAGTGATGTCTGATATCCACGTGTTTAGTACGTGAATGCTGAACTGGATTTTTAGACAGATTTATGGCACTCATGTTATCACNTTTCTAAGACTCAGAAAGGTGTTGTGATCCAACGGTTTGGTAAAGAGATCTGCAAGTTGTTTCTCAGTTGGGACATGCTCTAATATCACAATCCTCATTTCCACTAACTCTCGCACAAAGTGATGTCTGATATCCACGTGTTTAGTACGTGAATGCTGAACTGGATTTTTAGACAGATTTATGGCACTCATGTTATCACAATGAACAAGCATAGGAGCAGAGGTGATACCGTAATCGACAAGCATTTCTCGCATCCAAAGGATTTGCGTGCAACAGCTTCCTAAAGCAATGTATTCCGCTTCTACTGTGGAAAGTGAAACACAGTTTTGCTTCTTGTGTTGCCATGAGACCATGTTATTCCCTAAGAAGAAACAACCGCCAGATGTGCTATGTCTATCATCTAAGCAACCTGCCCAATCAGCATCACAAAAACCTGCAAGATTCACATTAGTCTCAAAGGTATAATGAAGACCAAAGTCAAGAGTACCCTTCACGTATTTGATAATACGTTTTACAGCGTTTATGTGAGACTCCTTGGGTTTAGCCTGATAGCGAGCACATATCCCCACACTGAGGCATAGGTCCGGACGGCTTGCTGTGAGGTAAAGCAGGCTTCCAATCATGGCTCGGTATAGTTTCTCATCAACAGATTTCCCATCGCTATCTCTGGAAAGCTTGGTTGTCGTACTCATTGGCGTTTTAGCTGTCTTACTCGTCTGCATCCCAAAGCGCTTGACGAGGTTCTTGGCATAGGTACTCTGTGACACTGTGATTCCATCGGTCAGTTGCTTGATCTGAAGTCCAAGGAAATAGCTCAACTCACCAACCATACTCATTTCGAATTCTTTGGTCATTGTCTTCAAAAAGTCATCGACCATTTGCTTAGAGGTTCCTCCGAAAATGATATCATCCACATACACTTGAATAATAAACATATCATCTCCATTTCTCCAATGAACAGAGTCTTATCAACACCACCTCTTTGAAAACCAGCTTGAATCAGAAACTCAGTCAATCGATCATACCAAGCTCGTGGAGCTTGTTTCAGACCATAAAGTGCTTTCTTGAGCTTGTAGACATGATCTAGAAAGTGTGGATCTTCAAATCCTTTCGGTTGTGTTACATAGACTTCTTCTTGTAATACACCGTTCAGAAAGGCACTCTTGACATCCATTTGATAGAGTTTGATTATGAGATTGCACGCCATGCCGAAGAGTAGTCGAATTGACTCAAGTCTTACAACTGGAGCAAAGGTTTCATCGAAATCTACTCCTTCAATCTGAGAGTATCCTTGTCCCACCAATCGTGACTTGTTTCGAATGACGTTCCCTTCCTCATCGGTTTTGTTCTTGTGAATCCACTTGGTTCCAATGATGTTTACATTCTTTGGTCTTGGTACCAATTCCCACACTTGTAGTCGCTCAAACTGTTCAAGTTCAAGATGCATTGACTCAGTCCATAACTCATCATCTAACGCTTCCTGAATATTCTTGGGTTCTATGGGTGACACAAAACACTCAACCGCATTCATCTTCACTGTAAAGCACGCCAACTTGACCATCTCTTTAAAGTTGATTTGCTTCTTTCGTGTGACTCTATCATCAAAAAGTCCTCCAATTACGTCTGATGAGGAGTGATTCTTATGCACTTTTCCTTGATCAAGCTCAACTTTAGTCATCTCAGGGTCATCGTCTTCTTCAGACTCATCTTTCCCTTCACTTTCAGCTTCTTTTGAGGAACTCGGTGTGACACTGTCAATTGTTTGTGTTACACAAGCCTCATAGAATCCAATGCTATCATCAAAGACGACGTTAACATTGTCACCAACAAACTTGGTACGCTGATTAAACACACGGTAAGCAGAGCTGTTCACTGAATATCCCAAGAACATCCCTATGTC